TTTGATTATAATACCAGTTATGCCTGACAATTTGCTGACTCATAGTCTTGAGCCCTTCCTGAGTCTCCTCCAACTGCTTTCGGATTGAAGCAATTTCGGCGTCCTTTTCGGCGGTGACTCGGGCAACAGCATGATCTCTCTCCTCATTCTTATCAATCTGCTCTTTGTACAGCCGGTCCAGTGTCTTTACCTCTCCTTGAGCCACATCTCTTTCAGAAACCACCGAGTCATACCGCGCTTTGAATTCACTCCATGTCCCATTGATAGCTCTCACACCCGAAAGTGATTGTGTGACACTTTCGGAGAAGGCTTGATGACGTCCTCGGTTGATTTCTCGGTAATAGTCTATCATTTCGGAAACTTGAGCAACCATTCGGGAAGAGAATTGCTCCTCAAACTGAGCCTGAGTCTCTTGAAACTCACTCATACGATGCAGACACTGTTCAACTTCGGGCATGGTAGACGGTGGAGCCGGGATGTAAGGGACAACCTTTTCGGGTGCAGGCTGGTCCAAGGAAGGGACAGTGGGCCTTTGGGTCCGAAATTCGGGCTGGAGTGGTGGGTTCATTTGAGGGAGTTTACTGACCACATTGACCGAAGTGACAGGAATGGAGGGTATCTGACCTGGCAAAGCTGTGGGACCAGAGCCAACGAATTCTGAATGAGAACGAATGAGAGAAGTGGGAGGTGGAGTCTGAGGGGGAGCCGATTGGGAAGCAAAGAGTGGAGGAACTATGGGCTTCGGAGCCATCGTGGGTTTCGGAACATTGGTTGATGGGTTTGGACCAGGAAGACTCTGCACACCTGATCGACCCAGGCGCTTCTGCTGTAGCCACTGCTTTACCTCTGCAAACGTATGCAGTGAGGTAGGTAGTGGGGAGATTTGGGGAGGGCCAGAGACGAGAGAAGAAGACCCAGGTTGAAGGTTTGGAGGAGGGCCTGCTTTCGGAGCAGGGGAGGGGCTGGGGAAGGGGGCCGGTGTGACACTTTTAGCTTGGTGAGGCGAAGGGATTGTTGGTGATTCTTGCAATGTAACACCCAAAACCGATTGTGTTTGTGCTATAAATGGGTCTAGAGCAGAGGGAACGGCCTGTTGTCGAACAGATACGGCAGGAGAAGGAACAGGACCAACAGGGGACATTGTGGGCACCTTTTTGGAGGTAAGATCCATTTCGGGCTGGGGAGGACCTTGTTCAATGGAGAACGGACGAGCCGTTTCGGTTCGGCCTGGGACTTCTTCTACATCCTCCAGGGCACGCTTGTTCACAGGAGGATGAACAGGACTACTTCGGACAAGTATCGGAGAAACCCCAGCTGGCAAACCTGCAGAGAAAACGGGGGGGGCAATTTCGGAGGGTTCCTTTTCGGGAACAACATCGGCAAATTTTGGAGGGCGGGGAGGGAATCGTGGCCTCTCATTTCGGGCTGTAGATGGTTCCGGTTGAGGTCCTTCTTCCCCATCATCTTGACCCAAGCTGGAATCTTGAACAAGAATAGGACCAGCTGGAGAAGACAGTTCTGTTTCTCCCTAAAAGTCAGCTGCTGAGACTTGCTTTCAGTTCGGAACCTAGAAAACTCACCTCCGAACGAGGTTGCTCTCTAGCAGACGTAGGCGCTTCGGTGAGAGGTTTCGGAGAAGGTCTGACAACCCATTTCGGACCGGGTTTTGCAGCATCCCCAGCTGCGACAGTGCCTCCCCTAGCAGTCCTACGCTTGTCCTTCGGTCCTACCGGTTGCTGCAGTGGCGCATTTGAGAACCCAATCGCCGTGGAAGCTGCAGGGGGAGCTTTTTCTTTTCCCTTTCCTTTTCCTTTTTCGGGAGGGGGGGGAGAAACCGATTTCTTGGGAGCCGAAGCTCTTGTGGAGCGTGTTGTGGTGGCTGGCCGGCGAGGTTTCGGAGGGGAGGGATGTGGTGAATGTTCAGAGTCCGATGAGTCCGAATCAGAATCCGAGCTGTCCTCAGGCTTGTCCTGACCTTGTGATGACTTTTTCGGTCGTTTTTCACTTTCGGAGGACTCTTCGACAAGGAAATTGGTCGGCTTGCCCTTGAGGGAGCAGGTGAGAGGGGGCTTTGTGGAGTTATAACAGTGCACACAGACACGAAACTTTCCTTCGTCCCAACGGTTGAGAAACACTGGTCGACCATCAGGTACATTGACACATTTCACTTCGGGATGTCTGAGATCAGCATTGAGTTTCGTTAATTTCTCCCGAATTCGGGAGCCATATTTGATAAACCAATACTCACGTGTAATTGAAAGCCGAAACACAAAACTGGACATGACAGTTTGGCTTTGTGGCCGACTCATCCGCCGAATAACATCGTGACCCTCTAGTAATCGCCCGAATACCCTCTTCCTTCATTTGTTTCGGGGTAGCTTCCCGAAGTCCTAGCTTTTCAGCAAGCTGAGGAAGATACTTCGGCTCTGCATGCCACCAGGGCTGGAGGTAGAACCCTATCTCAGCTTGAAAAGAACGAAGTGATTTCTCATTCTTCCAAATGGGGTGTTGTGGCTGAAGATACTTTTGGAAGTGAACATGGTCGGGGTGTAATTTGTAACCCTTCGGAGGGTTTACACTGGATTTATCTGTTTTTGGGTCGAAGGGGTTCGGCATTTTGAGAAAGAGGTCAAAGAGGTCAGAGAGATTGGGAGGAAGGGGGAGTGGGAAGACTCTAATTTTGATGATAAGATAATTCGGACGAGCCAAGGGGGAAGGTGAGATGAAGCACACAGATGCAGAATGAGCAGTGAGATCAGTTGAGAGTGAGCAGTGGAGAGCAGATGAAAAACGCTGGCTAATGTATGCTGGAAAAAGATATGAAGATGCTGAAGTGAAGTGAAGTGAAGAGAAGAAGTGAATTGAAGGAATGAAAAAGGGGGAAAATCGCGTCAGCCCGTGTTAGTACTTAGTAGAAGTTCAATCAACACATCACCATCAGACACGTCAACATGATGGATCCTTAAGAGAGTTTTGTGCATTCAGAGGATGTATTACCATGAACATGAACATACATACATACTTACATACATGAAAGAAGCTATTCACTTGGGTAGATTGGTAGTCAGTAGTGAGTATGTGACTATCACCGAAAGCTCCCGAATTCGGCCGAAAGGGGACCGAAAAGGAAGTAGGATTTCGGGCTGGGGACATTGCCCATGCCCCTGTGGTCAATACTCCGAAAGCTGTGCCGAAAATGGTATGAATAGACTCAGAAGGCGTCAGGCATTCCAATGATATCAGAAAAGCCACGGAAAGATGATTTTCTAATAGTGAAGGTATTTGGGTCAGTAGTGACGGGATATGGGAGTTGAACGTCGTATTTTGGGAGAAAGTGGCAAAATTTCGTCGGGATTAATTCGAGTTCCGTCGGGATTATCCACTTTTGCCATTCGCCCGATCGCCCACTTCCTTCCCAACCATACTTCTTCCACAACCCACGACCCCTCCCCCCCTCCCCCCCCCCTCATTTCATCTTCTTCCCAATCGCATATCATCACTCAACACTATAACATATTCTCATGACTTGAATCTTAGAACGATGACAGAAATCACCATGACCGACCCACCGCCTTCCCACATACAAGTTTCAGAACCTTCCCATCCTGATGTATCTACCAGTTCAGGTACCCCTTCTTCTCACGGTGCACCCAGAACTCCCCCGACGCCTGAATTGGGGTATGATGCGAATATCGTTGTAGGTGTGAAACAACTTGGGGATGAAGGTATACATCGGGAACAATCGCCACACGATCGGGCTGATTTAGAAATGGGTATGGATCTGGAGGAGGAGGAGATACGGCAGGTAGAACCTAGATATCTCCAACCGGCGGAATTGTGAGTATCTCTAAATTTTGCCTTGTGTTTGAAAACACCCTCTGATCTGAATTTACTTGGATGGTTTGGGACACTGGTTTAGTAGATTACGACATTGAATTTTGTTCCCGTTCCTTTTAAGTATTGTGCACAAGTCAATTCATTCTTTTTTGACTATGTCGAAAGATGCAAAAGACGTCATAGTGTAGAGGATCAGTTTGCATGACTGGGAAGGTGAATGTAAGGGGATATAGGACGTCATGGATAGAAGAGGACGATGTGTCGCTGCAGATCGTCATGACTGACCAAGCAGCTTTCCTGTCAACAACGACGAAAGTCTCACTGCCAAAGCCATCTGGGCACCGAAAGAAGGAGAATGGGTGTCCCCTGAAGATGATCCTGAGGCGAGACGTGGTATACCAGTCTTTCGGCCGACCATGGAAGAGTTCAAGGTAAGTCACTAGCCCGAGCTTGAGGATGTCCTTCTATATACTCAATCCGCTTTGGTCTACCTTGCGCAATCTCTGCCGACCCTATCGTCATCCTATCATATAGCATTTTACGACTTTTGTATTCATCAGGAAGACCCGCTGATTGGGACCTAGGACTTTGAAGGCTACGTGGAGAGAACCACTCCTTGGGGTCAACGCTCTGGTATAGTCAAGATTATTCCTCCAGCCGAATGGGTCGCTTCTTTACCTCCCATCCCACCCAACCAACTTGCAGACGTCCGTATTTCTTCCCCTATCCAACAACAACTCCACGGTCAAACGGGCTTGTTCCGCGTTATCAACGTTGAGAAGAACAGACTTCGTCCCTTATCAGTAAAAGAATGGTATCACAAAGCGCAATCAGCCAAGTACGCGGGACCGGGACCTAAGATGGTAGATCCTATCAGAGATAGAGATACCGAACAAGGCAAGCAGGTCAGAGCCGCCAGGGAAGCGGAACGGCAATCACGTAATGAGAAGAGGAGAAATGATAATAAACGTAGGAAAGAGGCAAAGGAAGCTAGGGAAGCACAAGAACGTTCCATACAAGTGGATGAAGAACATCTCTCAGAGCCAGGACCTTCACGTGCTCCTTCACCCGAACTTGTCAAAGTGGAAGACACCTCAATGAAGGACGATGAAGCTTCGACCACTGAAACACCACTCCAGCCTCTGTCACAGCTGGAAACAACATCTGTCACCTCGCCAGTCACGAAGACAAAGAATGGGTCGAAAGAGGAAAAGTGGAAAGCGGACTTACCTTGGTATGAAGGGTTCAAGCCTTCAGAAGATTGGTTACCGGAGGACACTTCTGCTGCCGATTATACACCTGAAGCATGTAAGGAGATGGCAAAGAAATGGTGGCGGAGATTAGGTCAAGCGGAGGCTGCATGGTACGGGGCGGATCTACAAGGTGGGTTCTCTATCAATCCTCATATTCGTTGATTGTCTGCCACTGTGTCCTAAAGCTGATTTTTCAGGATCCCTCTTTCAGGATAAAGCAACTCCATGGAATGTCTCATGTCTCCCAAATTTGCTCAACAGATGTAACCTTACCAAACAGCTTCCAGGTGTCAACACACCTTATTTGTACTTTGGCATGTGGGGCGCGACTTTCGCTTGGCATGTCGAAGATATGGATCTGTTTTCTATCAATTATATCCATTTTGGGGCTCCAAAGTTCTGGTACGCTGTCCCACAAGTCCAGGCAGAAAGGTTCGAAAGGACCATAGCTCGTGAGTTGCATATCTGCCTATCTGCCCTCATGACGACTCTTCTTCTTTCTATCCCTCAACTTCGATTCTCTCATGCCACCATGTTTGAATCATTATACATACGTTGTCACAACGTCCGCCACCAAGATGGACAGTAGGAGTGATGGGTCGAATAATTCTGACTGATCGATAGAATACTTTCCCGTCGAAGCTAGAACATGCGACCAATTCCTCCGACACAAAGCTTTCACCCTCTCCCCAACACGTCTAGCCGAGCAGCAAATACGCGTCAACATGCTTGTCCAACATCAGAACGAGTTCGTCATCACTTATCCCCGTGGTTATCATGCTGGTTTCAATATGGGTTTCAATTGTGCAGAGAGTATAAATTTCGCCCTCGAGAGTTGGGTGGAGTTAGGACGTAGGGCAAAGGTTTGTGAATGCGTGAGCCACAGGTATGTGACAATCTCATTTCTGGATATTCTCCGCCTTTCACTTCTTTTTCCACAGTCTCACATTGACAGATTTTGGACACTTGTACTGCTCTAGTCTCGTCTGTGTGCTTCGCTCACACTCTCGCGTGTGGTTCGCAACAGGATCAAGTCAACTGACTTCAGTGTACGCATCGACGTCGATGAGATGCTGGCAGAACGAGAGCTGGTAGAAGCCATCGACAACGAGCGAAGTGCAAAGAAGAAACGTTCCAGAATCTCCACCGACACTCCAACATCAAAACGTCCTCGCACATCTACCGTCTTCCCCGAGGACGCCTCGCAAAGTGACGAGACTGAAGAACCAGAGCATGAATCGAAGCTACCTATCAGCGGTATGGAAAAGAGCAAAAAGGCGACTCACATATCGAAGCCCCGTCCTCCAGCTATCAAGAAGGAGATACCCTCTTATCCGTGTCTCTTCTGCCCGTCTCTCAGCCAAGAGGGCCTTACTATGGTCGAAGGTGCCAACGAAGTTGTTCAAGCTCGGTCAAAATCACGTGTGCCTGGCTTATTTGCTCACCGTTCCTGTGCATTGGCCATCCCGGAGACATCGGTCGATGATCGTGAGGTCGATGGGAAATTGGTAGGGGTAATCGCAAATGTCAATGCAATCCCGACGGATAGATGGAATTTGGTCAGTATCTCCTGCTCCATCTCCGCTGTTTCCTTATACTTCTTCCTTTTATCATGTAACAGATAGGGGTCAGGCGCGACCTATCAGCAATCGCGGTTTTCTATGACTACTTCATCGTTCATCAATTGAGATATATCGCTGACGTACAGAAATGCACTGCTTGTACAGACAGAAAGCTCGCTGCGATCGGTGCCAAAGTGCAATGTACCAAGGTAAGTACCCTCACTTTGTGCATACTTTGTATGGGATGCACCTGAGCTGACTTCCAAGGGGAAATGCCCACGTGCCTTCCATGTCTCATGCGCCAATGCCGCGGAGGATGTGGTGTTTGAAGTCCTTGAAGTGCAGGAATGGGTACCCTTGCCTTTGCCTGATGATGCTCCTCCCGGAACGCAACATGAGTTTGAACAGGTCAACTCTATCAAGGTCAACTGTTTGTGTCCTAACCATAACCCCGTGAGTGTCTCCTTTCCTCTCACCGTGGTTGACCATTCTCCGCTCTATTGTCATCTCCATCCCTTAATCGTGGTGCGATCGCAAGAGCAATATATTCTGTTGATGGCCGCTGTACTGTTCTCTCAGCGTCATTCACATAATCCAACATCTTATGCTCCGTGCCATTGTGGCAGAGTGCTCGGTACTTTCGGCAGAGGAGATATGGAGCGCTCGTAAATGCTGACACTTCAGGAGGTACAAGAGAGAAAGAAACGTCAGGAGGCAGAAGCACTCCGCCAGAAGGTTATGGCGCTACTCCCCGGTTCCAAGATCAAGATCAAATCCGGAGGTAGCTTTTACGAAGTCACATTGCTCTCTGCTATCGAGTCTAGCCGGGTGGTGGAGGTGCAGCACGAGAATGGGTCAGTTACTCGTGTAATGCCAAGAAACAGTAGCTGACATACCCAGTCACCGAACATTCGAGTCTTGGTCGAGGATCGAATTTAGAGACAGGCCTCAAGTTAAATTGGAAAATGAATATGGTGAGTTTTGAGCTGGATATGGTACATGGGGCTGACCTGGCGCAGCCAAGGAATACACGCATGACAGGAAAAGCAAACATGAAACAACGACAGCTCCGACGCCCACGTCAATACCGCCAGTGGCGTCACCAAGCACAGGCGGCTCCACGTCAACCACTGTACGACTCAATATGAGCAATGGACAACCCAGACAACTTGCTACTCAACCCGCTCCTCACTACTCGTACCGACATGTCCCGACTAGTAGTCAGTCATCCCAAATTTATCCAAATGGTCATCAACCTTTCGCCTCTCGTCCCACCAGTATATCCCAATCTCAGCCTCAGCCTCCGCTAGCCGGACCGAGTAAGGTGCACCCTCCTCCCAATGGAGCTCCGTACGTTTCAGCGACGTATGCCGGACGTCCACCTGGTCACATGCAGCCTTCTCATCGTGGTGACGTACAATACATCCTTAATGGTTCTCAGCCGATTCCATCCCGTGTGCTCATGTGTGAGGCACCTTCAGCGTCTCCCTATCCCGACCCAGCGTATCAGACACGTGTACACCCTACACTCATACCAGGCTATACACCGATGCCATTTCGACCCCCGCAAGGATACTACGGTGACCCTCGGGCGTATCAGATGGCTCCGCCAATCATGACGCCGAATGGTGCTTCACACTTCCACAATTCGTCAAATCACCGAGCTTCGTCATATACTCCTCCGATGGACCAAAGTTATCAACGTCAAATATCTCAGACACCTTCTCAGGATCGGTACAATCAAACCACCCCTCGAATACATCCACCTAGCCACATTAATCATGCTCCCCCACTCCAGCCTGCTCCGGCGGGTAGAGGTCAGATCGATCTGGGACTGGACCGCATGGTGCGACTCATGAAATGTCTTCCTGTGTTGAAAGTACCAACGATTCATCTAGCCGGAACGAACGGCAAAGGATCTGTATCTGCCATGTTGGAAGCTTGTCTCGTCGCTTCTGATCTGCGGGTCGGACGATACAATTCTCCTCACCTTATAGAACCACGTGATGGAATCCGAATCAATGGCCGACCGCCTCATCCTGAACACTATCGAATGGCCTTTGAGACGGTACAAAGAAAGAATCAACAATTCGGGATTGGGGCGACCAGCTTTGAGTTATCCACTGCCACCGCGTTTCATCTACTCAACACGGCACTTCCCTCTTTGGATGTCATGATCATTGAATGTGGTATGGGAGGAGCTAAAGATGCTACCAACATAATTGAAAATGATTTACAACTCGCGGCCGGACTCACTTCCGTCGGACTCGATCACACTTCTTTCTTGGGGAACACCATCAGTGAAATCGCCACTGACAAGGCGAAGATTGCAAAGGAAGGAAGTTTATTCTATATCGGACCACAAAAATACCCTGAAGCAGGTGATACGGCGTCCAAAGTAGCATTGAATTTATCCTCCAGAGTGAGAAGAGCAACATCGTCTATTCGCCTCAATGGTCGATTGGTCAAAACTACATGTGTATCCGATGCGGGTCAAACGACATTTCAAACTCATCTCCCCCTTCCTGGCGAACATCAATTGGAGAATGTAGGATTAACATTATCGATTTTACATGGTATTCGGACTGATCGAAGGGCTACGTTCATACAATCAAAATTGACTCAAATCACAGATTCTTCCATCGTTTCAGGGATTGAAAAAACAAGATGGGAAGGTAGATGTTCTTGGATACCATATACATCTTTATCATTGATATCCCCAATTGCAACTTCTCTTTCAACTTCATCATCTCTTCTCACCTCATCCTCTATTCCTACTTCTACATCTTCATCACCTCCTCTACATATATCCAGTCCTGCAAATTTAGGGAACGCCATATTGGTCGATGGTGCACATAACACCGATTCCGCTCAAGCATTGAGAAAATACCTAGACTCGATTCATTCACAAAATATAACTTTCATCATAGCACTATCATCATCTCGCGATAAAACAATAAACAGCGTTTTATCCCCTCTTCTACGTAAAGGAGATACAGTCATATCAACTACTTTCTCACCAGTGGAGAATATGTCATGGGTCAGATCTGTACCTCCGGAAGAATTATCAACTGTGGCTAGAGAACTTGTTGATAATGTTGAGATTTGTAAAGATGTAAAAGAATCTATACAAGTGGCAATTCATAAACTTAAGATGGAAGGGAAAGGTTTGATTGTGGTTTGTGGTAGTTTGTATTTGGTTGCGGACGTTTATAGATTATGTCCTCCGTCTGATTGGATAACGGGGGAGTTTGTAAGGACTAGGGATGCTAGTAAGTTGTTAGAAGTATGACATTGAAGTTTGGATGTTTGATTTGTTTTGAGTCTATTGATGCTGTATGTATGGAGAGTGTGAAGAATATGTATGATGATGATATACTTGTTTGACCAACCCTACAATCCGTTTCCTGCCTTGATATCTGGATCTGACTCGTATTGTCGTGTCTCCTATCCCCCTAGGGAAAGATCACATCTCGGATGAACTATGTACAAACTCGTACTTATTTCGTTCTATTCGTAAGAGCATGAAGACATCTTGACTTGTCCCAATCAGCAGCACGAAGAATCAGATTGGAAGTTTGTTCACATCTTCATACGATAAGTTACATGCTTCAAAACACAAAACCAATATCTCTTTCCCAATTTACATCAACAGTGAGTAAGTGTATCACAAGCTCTCCTCCATACACATCTCCACAAGTTGAATGGTCAATCATCAAGAGAACAAAAACTTTGCTTTTAACCCACCATCTTCCCTTCTGACTTATCCCATAATTCTAACCTACCTTTTTCTCCTGATCGAACTTCGAACTCTCTTCTTTTATTCATATATATCCCATGAATACGTAATATCTCTCCTGTACGGATCGCTCGACCTTCTACTCTATCATCGGAAGGAGGAATTGGGAGTGGTTTATCTGATTTTCGTGTTGGGTCAATGAGTGATGTTTTCCAAAAACTCTTTTCACGTTTATCATCCGTCGTCTCTTTCTTCGTTGCTATCCCTTTTGTCACTGTTATCACTTTCTTCATTGGCGTACCTTTAGTCACTGACATATCTTTTTTCATCGTCGTACCCTTCGTCACTGACATATCTTTTTTCATCGTTGTACCTTTAGTCACTGGCATGACTTTCTTCATCGTCGTACCATTCATCACGGTCGTTCCCTCTTGAAGAGATGTCCTCTTGACCTGTATCGCTTTAACATGTCCCACAGATACTCCTTTCTCTATAGGTATAGGAAGTTTCGGTTTGTCATCTTTTATAAATCTCCCTAATGACCATTGAGTCAAGTTGGTCTTTTCCTGGTTTCCCCCCGAAATTCCAGAGCTTGATGACGAGTTGACAACTTTCGATACAGATTTGTTTTGTTGAGGTTTGACATTCTTCAATAGATGACCATCATCTTTTAGTTGTAGAGTAGGAACAGCTCTCGATCGTCCCATCCAAAGTTTTACTAGACCTCTTTCTGCATTCTTGTCCTTCTCAAGGTCCGATGGACCGGCTTGATCCACCGACTTTGATTTCTCTACTTGGATTGACTTTCCCACATTCCTCGAAGATCCGCTTTCCCCTTGCTTCCCTTTCGTCGAGGAAGACTGAAACAAGTTGGTGTCTTTGACGGGGACAGAAGGACCAACTTGGATCCATAAATTATCCCACCATGATCCACCTTGATTGACTGTATCTTTCGATATTGTTGAAGAGGCGGGAGGATCGATAGTAGGTACATTCTGGATTTGTCGTTGAGTCGATTGAGCTTTGTCGGCTGTGTATGCAGTGTGTAGTTGACTGAGAAGACTGAGAGCTTTGGTTCTGACATCGGAAGAGAGTGTGGGAGAGGCTATGATGCTCAGGACTTGCACATCAGCGAGAGAATCTTTCAACTTTCGACAAATTCCGAATTTGTAGAGCCTTATTTGACCTTAGACTTTCAATCGACGGCGAGTCATGTCCACGCCTAGTGATCCTTCTCGGACTGTTTTCGGTCGGAGCCAGACGTCGGTGGCGAAATCAAAAGGTCATCTGAGATAAGTAGTGGATGAAGGAAGATGAGAGAAGATTAAAGATGACTTCTTACCTTCTCGTTGCAACGCCGTCAAACCTCCCAATTCTGCAGAAAGACGGTCGATAGTTCTGGGTAAAGCTATGGAAGCTACAGATCAGCTGTTACCATGTACTGAGCACATCCGACTGATGCTCCAACTGTCTGGATTGTCCGAGATGGGAAAATAAGAAAAGTGAACGAGAAGACCTACACAGCTTAGCGATGGATCCTGAATGTGCTATCAGAGCACCTTTGGTGATGATCATCCCCTTTGCTATAAAACCCCCAGCTATCGATGCTGCCGCAGCCTGGATGTCAGAACACATTTTCATCTTTACCGTTCTCCGATTCACTCATCGAACTCCCACATCTTCCATACTACTTGTTTGTCACAAAAGAGGAATTGTAGTGTGATGAACAAAGTCGGGGTTTGACGAGAGGCGGGCTATGAATAATAATTTTTAGACTCACCGCCTCCAGAGCAGCGGCTTCTGGTAATAAAGCAACTCCTGCCGTAGCTACAGCCGCACCTACTGCTACTGAGAGAAGAGCGATGGTAGCTGCTGATTTCAAGATTGAATATCGAGTTTTTTTCTCGCCATCGTCGACCAAAGCCTGTGGTGAGTTAACCCCTCAATCAACTAACCTTCCACTCCCGACCGTTCGTGGATCGCACGCCCCCACCCCGCTTTCTTCATGAGGCACACGACCAAATTATCCGTCCGAGGGGGAAGAAAAGCGAAAGGGAGGTATTGGATCATCTGATAGAGGAAGAAGAGAAGGGGCGAGATCGGAAGACGAAAGAGGACCAACTTCAAAAGTAAACCACACTTTCCCTGGCTGATCATGAGCCTCCTTCTCAAACCCCTTGGACCCACTTTGAACTTGACAGTCTGACCCGGTTCCACCTTGACCATCAGCTGTCTGACGCTAGAAGATAAAGGACAGATAGGTAGAAAACTCACCCCATTCTCGAAATGAAGAGCGGTGACTTGTTTGAGACAGATGTTGAGTTTATGTGTCGTCAAGTTCGTCACTCGGCAAGAAGGCATCATGATTTCTTCTCGACTCGGTCAAGTGAGTAAGTGAGTACAAGTGGCGAGGGAGAAAGAAGGAGAGGATTTTACATGTATACATGTATAGACACACACAGCATGGCCAGTAACGTGGTAGTATGGTAGGAGTAAGCATGGATGATGGTAGGTCAACATGAGGTGAAAATTTGGTCATGACATTGGAGACGGCGGATCCCTACTCATCTATCTGTACTTCAACGAACACAACGCTTGGCTGATCTTGTCGGGACGAGTCAGATTAGCTGTATCGTCATCTGGACCAGTCAGAGAATCACCATGCCAAAGTGGTGTTGAAGTTGCCAATCCTAGTGGTCGTTGATGGGTTAGTGATGATTTCCTGAATCGGGCTTTGTTACTTGGCCTCGTGCCTCGAGAGGAACACCACTATCCCACATGTAGGTAGGTAAGTAGTCGAGGCACATCTTAGCTTTCAATCCCTCGCTCAAACTTTACCTACTTTCAAGGATACTCGTAGATCAGTCGCAATCTGTTCCCCAAAGATGGTCTCCAGGTAAAGAGAGCTTACTTAGCTACGTGGTGATTACTTAGAAACTTCACTTAGCTATTCCTGTCATGGCCTACAGTCTGTTGATTGGTCGACGATGCGACATCTCCGCAGCTCACTACTACTACACTACTCTACTCGTACTCTCGAGATGGTGGCAACACGAAAAGGAGAAGGCGACCATACGAACGACGACGGGATCATCGAGTTTAGCCGGATAGATATGGTTCAAAATCGGTGACTAGCTCCCGATCGGGAAAGGTTCTCGGAGATACACCTTACCATCCGCTTTCTGAACAAACGCTCACCCATTGGCCACTGAACTTTTGCCCTCTGGACGTTGGAGCAGAGTTGGAGCACCGACCAACCAGACCGCTTTTAGATCTCAAAGATGTGCGGGGGATGCCGGCGACTTGTGGAAAATTGGAGTAGGGAGGGATGGCACCATCGATAAGGACACTGCGACAATCGGGGAATTCCTCTCAACATTCAGGGTCGATCGACCTTTTTAGTCGTATCAATATTTGGGTCGTTTTGGGTCTCTCACGTGACAGCCGAAAACCCACAGGCCACAGGGAGGTGACAATATGGTTGTCCAACGGGAACAAACTCAATGATCCGACGAATAACACAGGCGTTTTAAGCGGAAGAGGGAAGAGTGGTAAACGTGCCTTTTCACTCCTCTCCTCTTTCCCCTTTTTACTTCGCTATAATAAAAAAGAAAATGACTTGAAAGAACTTGAATCGCCAGACTCAATTGTCGTTTTGGCAGATAAGAAAGTTCTGGCCTTCGGTCACCCGCCCAAGACTCCGAGTGAAGCAGAGAGAACGTAGGAACACGAGTGAAGCTCAATCGATCCCAGAGGTATTTTCAGACTTCAGGAACACCGGAGATTTCGGCAACATGAGCCCAAATCAGCGGATATCTCGGGATATGTTCCGGATTTCGGATCTATGGATCGTTATCGGAATCTACATTCCTGTACGCACGCTAGTATCTCATCTTGGAGCTTTGAGAATTGGTCGCTGTGTGACTACATCTACAAAGTTCAAAGCTCGAAAGACTTTCGATTCATCTTTCATCTTACTTCATTCGTTTACCTAACAACTTGGAAAACGATGACATTCCGCCAGAAAGCTGTAGAGGTTTGGAAAGAGGTTGGTTTCTTGAGAAAACCTCAATCGGCTATCGATGCAGGTGCCAATGACTTTCGTCCGGTTTCAGGATGGAAACGTGAGTGATCGCACGGGATTTTGTCTTCTTCCTACATTCCACTCCTCCTCCTCCTCTTTCGTCAAGCAGACTAACTCCTGATTGTAGAACGAAAAGAGAGTAGAAAGAGAAGATATGCTAATCAACAGCTTTCGTTCATATGGAACCTGGTGACAGGACCATGTGGATAAATGAAGATTTAGCTCCTACTCCACCTCAAATGCGTACTTGGAGTTGGCTCACTTATGTATCTCTCTGGTGGGGAACCAACTACGGTATCGGGTCAGTCTCTTTTCTTTTCTTCCTTTTCTTCTTCACAATTTCCCTCTTCTCAACTCCAGGCATGGCGGAGGAGAAAACGGTAACGATGAGAGATCACCGCTGATAAGTCTAGTGCATGGACTGCAGGTTCCGCTCTTCTTACCTTCGGTCTGTCGTACAAACTGGTTATCGCTGCCACCTGTGTCGGTCAATTCCTCATTGCTATCGTCGCTGTCGGTTGTGCTCGTGTTGGATCTCGATACCACATTGGTTTCCCAGTTTGGGCTAGGTCAACATTCGGTATGAACTTGTCTAAACTCTTTGTCGGTCTTCGTGGTTCCGTAGCTATTATTTGGTTCGCCGTACAAAACTATTATTGCGCCTTGTGAGTTTGGTTTCGGTTTCTTTCATTCTCCCTCCCTTTCCTTAGAACTTCTCGTCCGTCCATGGCACCGGAAAATGATAGTTACCGAGCTGATCAATAGAATGCTCGACATGGCTTTGCTAGCTGTATCACCCAACGGGTGGGGACACATCGCCAACACGATCCCCGAACACATTCATGTGACGACTAGACAAATGGTAGCCTACTTCATCTGTTTCTGTCTCCACATGTCAGTTTTTACTTCATCTTTCTTCTTGGTATTTGACTGACATACTTTAGGCCATTCGCTTTCGTTCATCCAAGTATGATCAAACTCATCTTCGAACTCAAAGTGAGTTTTACTTCGAATCTATTTGAATATTCTTGACTAACAACACAGGCTCTCTTCCTCCCCGTCGTTTCTTTCGGTTTCCTCGGTGGACTTATTCATCTTGCCGGCGGATCCCTCAACTTCTCAGTGCTTAACGGTACCATCGCCAAAGGTACCAGCGCACAATCTTGGGCTTTCATGTTGGGTATCAACTCTTGTTTCGGTGGTATCGCTCCCATGTTGATCAATCGTGAGTCATCACCATTATCATCTCCAATACACTCTTCAACACATTCTGACCACTTTCTCATATAACGAGAAGAGCAAGGGGAAACGGACTTCGAAAAGAGCAAACGACTTACTTCAGAACCCGATTTGGGCAGATACGCCACGACCCCCAGTGCCGCCATTATTCCTCAGGCTATCAGTCTTTGGGTTGGTAACATGATCGTTACCGCTCTTGGTCTTTCCGCCGGAGCTGCGTCTTATCAAATGTGTGTTATCTCTTTCATTCCTCCCCTTCCCACACCCCCTTCCCCTTGTCCGACTTTCCATTAGATCCATCGTCCACCTACCGCTGAACACTTGTATGTTGCAGTGGCTCTTTCAAGTCAGATGATCTTAATCGACAGTGGTGGAGTCGTCGCTGACTGGTTAGCTGGGGTGTCCACTCGTGGAACGTATGGGGTATCTGTGAACTCATCCTCGAAAACAACGTCACCTCGGCCTGGCGTGCTGGTATCTTCATCTTCGCCCTCGTTCAAATCTGGGCCACCATCGGTACCAACTTGTTCGCCAACAACATTCCTTCTGCTTGTGACTTTTCTTCTCTCTGGCCTACCAAGTTGTGAGTTGAATCACATCTCACCACACCGTCTCATCATCTTGACCCTCATCCATCTTCCTTACACTCATGCCGTTATCTCCTCACCTTCCCTGTCTGGCTCGTTAAGACAGGACGCGAATACTCTATGCCCCCTCGCCCCTTCCCGGAGCCTTTCGGCAAGACAGGAATGAGATCCTTGCTGACAACACAGGAACATCGTCCGTGCGCAAGTCGGTCTCATGATCTTCTCTTGGGTCGTACAACCTTGGTCTATCATCACCACCGGTGTTAAATTCGTCATCTTCCTCAACTCTTACACTTTCTTCTGTGGTGCTATGATTGCGTAAGTCTATCTTGCCTCGCCATTGTCAAAGGTCATATGTTGACACAAACTAGTATCCTCCTCGCCGATTACTTCATCGTCCGTAAGGGTAACATTCACGTTCCTTCCCTTTTCGCCGCGACAGGAAGCAAACTCCACACCGATGGTATTTACTACTTCAAACCATGGGGTTGTAACCTTGTCGGTCTCGTAGCTTGGCTTGTCGGTATCGCCATTCCCCTTCCTGGTCTCGTTGCCAGTTACCTGTGAGTTTATGTTTGGATATATCTTCCCTTCCTATCACAACGTCACATCCGCTCCTCCCCCCTTCCCACTCCTCCATCTAGTCGTCGGGCGTTATCACAGACATCACGGTGTCACGTAGAGGAAGGGTTGTGTAAGTAAGTAGTTGCTGATATCCCAGTACCAACATCAGTCCTACCATGCACACCATGGTCAACATTTACAACTCTGGTTTCCTTATCGCCTTCGGTGTCTCAGGAGCCGTCTACCTCGTCGGAATGCACTTCTTCAAACCACCTATCGTTCCTTATGGTCGCGAAGGAGAATTCGATGGTACTTTCGAAAGTCTTGGAAAAACAGATGGTTATCTTCCTGGTGATGCTCTCATAACTTATGGTCGTCACTCCAAATACGACTCTTACGACCCTCGTGCTTCCATCGGTGGTCACCCTCATGAATCTGAAGGTTCATCCCCAGTGGACGAAGAGAAGAAATTACCTTCGGACGCTTACGTTTACGAAGTTCCTGTTCAAGGTCATCGCGATTAAATCAAAACACAAATTAACCCTTTTTTGGTAATAATTCATATGATAATTCTTTTGTTGGGGGAGGACGTTTAGATGATAGAGGAAGGATGGTTTTCATGGGTTCTTAGATTAGTTGTTTTTATTTGGGATAGAGTTGATGCATGAGTTGTCTGATTTATGCTAGCTATTGTACACTTTTCTTTGAGTATGGTGCAGAATGATAGACAGATACTTACTTAACTGTAGTAATGGGTGTTGATACCATGTATAGATAGAAGGTGCCACCATGCCACTTTCAAACGAAACATCTACTCTATCACGATGAACATGGAAGAAGTAAGTGTATATGTGTGCTCATATCAAGGCATATAAGATATACTTACCCTCATCACTTTCCATAACGTCATGATTAGAGATGTAATCACTTCAATCTCTCGTCCTAAACACTCATGGCGAAAACACTCATGGCGACCACATCACTTCTTATCCCGTCACATCTCTTCCATCAATCATAACCTCCAACGATGGGTCAGTCTGTTCCTTTTCGTCCCCCCAAAGCCACGCTGACAGCTCAGAACGGTCGTTTAGTACTCTCAGAAGAAGTCCAACATGCACTTTCAACACACTCTCCTATCGTAGCGTTAGAAAGCACCATTATCACACACGGCATGCCTCATCCTACCAACCTTTCCACAGCTCTGTCAGTCGAATCTATACTCCGGTCAGAAGGTGTGACACCAGCCACTATAGCCATACTCCGAGGTGTGGTCCATGTCGGTCTTACATCTTCTCAATTGGAACGATTGTCAGATCCTGGACTTACCGGGACAGTCAAGGTTTCGAGAAGAGATCTGGGTGCTGTGATAAGTATGGGTTTAACAGGTGGGACGACGGTAGCTGGTACTATGTTTATAGCTCGGAGTTTAGGGATTGGGTTGTTTGTAACGGGAGGTATAGGTGGAGTACATAGAGGTGCAGAGAAGAGTATGGATATTTCGGCTGATTTGATGGAATTGGGAAGAACGGTGAGTTTTATACATTGATATTTCCACATTCACCTCTTTTATATTCTCTTTGGCAGTCGAAAATAGATACCCATATCTCTATCCCTCGTGTTCATTCTAGCGGTGTAGAAGCGATTATGGAGAATCGTATCCACACAAATATCGTGATTGGGACCAGTGAGCTGGGATAGACCTGGCTGGCAGGGTGAGAGGGTGGGAGGGGTTAAGGAATAAAGGAAAGGAGCATTGATGAATAGCCAGTTGCGGTAGTATGTGCTGGAGCCAAGAGTATTTTAGATATTCCGAAAACGTTGGAAGTACTCGTGAGTTTATCTTCGCTACTGGGACCTCGACCAATGTTGGATCTTGATCATTGACGAAGACAGGAAACCCAAGGAGTTTGCGTGGCTTCGTATGGTGACAAGCATGATTTTCCCGCTTTTTATTCTCCTACTTCTGGGTACAAAGTAAGCTCAATCATCTACTACTGTAACTCCTCAGACCCTACTTTCAAACCTCACTCCCCCTCATGACTCTTCATCATCCTTGATTGATAGCTTCCCTACTAGAGACCCAAACTAACGACCAGAGCCCATGGCAAGTTCGCGATCCCACTTTCGCAGCTTCTTTGATCCGTGAGGCTGCCCTTACCTATCCACTTAGTTAGTTTATATCGCTAATGGTAGATACAAACCTAAATCTTCCTCAACCCCTCTCAACTCTCCTCGCCGTACCTATCCCTTCTTCATACACTGCAGCAGGACAAGAAGTTCAAGAATCTGTCGAAATTGCCATTAGGGAGAGTGTAGAGCAAGGTATAGATAAAAGAGGTAAAGAAGTGACTCCGTGGTTGTTAAAACGAGTTGGAGAATTATCAGGTGGGAAAGCTTTAAAACTGAGTGAGTGTTTCGTAGTTTAGTCCTCTGATTATCGTACTGACTAATGATAGACGTGAAACTTATCGAGAATAATGCTGCTGTGGGAGCAGCGGTAGCTTTAGAACTCAATAAATCGGAGAAGAACGAAAAGATTAATGCAACTAGTATCGCTTACTTTCAAAATTTTACCTCAACTTCCTCTTATTCAGCACCTCAACCCATTGCCAATACAAGCAATTTTGACTCTGATAACTTCATATCGCATCCGACCCAATCGTACAACTTCTCGTTAGAGAGCGGGGGTAATGGACGGGATGATGGGCAGAACGAGACTCTTCCACAACCAACAGTATTGGTATTCGGAGCAGCAGCGATTGATATAACCTCATCCGCCTCCAAATCACTCGAAGATCGTACGACCACACCAGGGGAAATAAGGGTATCCCCAGGAGGAGTAGGACGTAATATAGCTGAAGCTGCTCAAAATCTTTTACCTCCAAATTCCGTCCGTCTCATCAGCGCTATAGGAGCTACCATCGTTCCAAGATCCACACTCGGGTTCAAGAATAACAATCTGACGGAGAAGGGGAAGAAAGATCGAGATACTACAAAGGATAATCTCACGAGACAAGGTCAAAAGGGCGAAGAAATAACGGACGATCTGGGATTAATACTAAAAAGTGAAATGCTTCGAACGGGATTACGTACCGACGGTTTGATCAATCATGTAGGAAGTCGAACAGCATCTTGTTCTTTAATGTTAGAAAAACAAGATTTAGTCGTAGGTGTGGCTGATATGGATATCATACATAATCTCACCCCTGACAAGGTGAGTCTCAGTTCTTTCACTCAAACTGTCAATCACCTTTCACAACTTTTCAGAAGCTCTGATTCCAATCCTGCCTGATATATAAAGGACATATCATTTACAATCGAGTGTATGTGAGAATGTTGATTTGTATAGGTCATACATGCTATCGAACAAACTCCCGGGGTTCAGATAGTAGCTTTCGACCTGAATCTTAAACCTGAAAGTATTATCGCTTTATTAAAAACTTGTATGAAATTAAAAATTCCTAGTAAGTTCCCATCCTCCTTCCCTTTTTCTATTGAATATCTCCAACATATCTCTCTACCACGCGTTATCTTTCTAGTCGTATGAAGATCAATAACACTCTCAATTCAATATCCCCAAGTGCAGATCAATTTCAAAAATCCATGTGGCTGTCAAGACGATGAACTTCAACTACTTCTCCTCCCTACCCTTCTCATCGAGCTGGCGAAGTGATGTATTATAATTTTACTTCTCATTTGAGGATATCATGATCAGTGAAGAATGAACAACTAATATGAAATTAGCTTTATGTGATCCTACATCAATATCTAAATCCCTTCATTTACTCAAATCACTTGATCAACTTCCGAATTATCAACTAACACATTTATCCCCAAACTTACTTGAATTAGAGATTATATCTTCACATTTATATCGTTCTTCTAATCGGATAGACGCAGTTCCCGAATTAAATCTGGATCTAAACAGGGATATCCCTCGAGAGGTGTTGGAGAGTCTCTCAAGGAACGGATGGAATTCTGAGATCGTACGACATGCTTTAAGATTGTTGAAGATTACGAAACATGTTTGGCTAAAAGGTGGTCCGAGAGGTATTTTACATATAACTTTAGACCAAATTCCAACCTCAACCACGAACTCAAAATCGACTTCTGCAGAAATGTCAACTTCGACCACAACTTCACATTTGATATCAAAGCACAGTTCTCAGATAAGTCCATCTGGAGATCATACACCTATCAAACAGGATGATTCGTCAGAGGTTACTGAAAGGGTAATGGAGAAAGAAAACAAAAATCGATTCGATATACATATCTCTTCATCATTCCATTTGATGATACATCATCACCCACCACCTCATATCTCACAGAGTCAAATTGTCAGTACAACAGGAGCGGGTGATACTTTAGTTGGAGGTATTATTGCTGGTCTTCTTTCTGGGGAAAAGGAAGAAGAATGGATGAATAGAGCTGTTGAACGGGTTGGGAAGACTATGAGGTCTAGAAGAGCTGTTGGATGAATGAGTCAGATGGAGTTATCTCATAAGGATGATTCCAGAGAGTTAAGACATGTACGCTTGATTCAGGTCGACTAGGTGACATGGGGTGTATCTGGAGGTTGATGGGTATATGGGAGAATCGCCAATCATAACCGTATGTGGTAATTCCAATGTTGTACGATCAGATGGATAGAAACAAAATCATGACTTCCAGTCGTCCGTTGCATGCTTGACATTTTATACACATGGTTTCGTATCATACAATTCACCGTCCTTCATTCGTAAAATCATTCAGCGTCACTTTCTTCAATCTGACATTAATGAGGGCTTCTCATCACCAATCACAGTCTAATCATAGAGAACAGCAAGGCCAATGTGGGAAAAGTAGAAAACTTTAGACAATTGAACGGACAGAACACAAAGGTACAGAGAACGATACACAAATCACTCACATCACTTTCATTAGCCACCTTGACATGACTTCCCGAAGCGGCCCTGAGCGTAGCAGCTGCATTCATCTCTGGTGATCGACCCGACACACTGACTCGTCGAGCGGGATTAGCGGGAAATAATTCTGTCGTGCCCAATAAGTTTCTCTTTGACGATTGGAAAGGTGTCTGACCCATAGAAGTTCTGTTCTTTAGTGATTGATCTCCGGCTTATCCCTGTCCTTGGAAGAAATGTTGACAAGGATCACCCACTTTGCCCAGTAAAATATAGACTGCAAAACGCTAGGTTCCACAGCGTCATAAGCCATCACAGGACTGACCCAACCATGCTCCAAGGCATCATCGAAACATCCAAAACTCCATCTTTGCCAGTCCGTCAATATCCAGTATTTGCATTTGAGTCTGTTGCAAGCGCCCCATGTGCGTGACCAATACCATGAAGCTTTGTTCTTAGTGACATAATGGTATTTTCCCTGGTCTGTCAGCCGAAGACATGTTTCCACAGGGGGCGTGTATAATCCAAGTGGCTTCGGTAAAAGTATTTGGGGTCAGATTGGAATTTGGTGGGTAGGTTGGGAAAACTCACTGTCACAACAAACTCTGCCCAATCGGCCGGTGTGAAAGCAGAAGAGTTGATAGTTCGCACCACTAGCTTGACGTCTTGAGTTCCTTCCTGGACCAGAAGAAACTCGCCCGAGCCTGAGTGTCAACTCTACTGTCTTTCCTGGCTTTTATACTCGTCACAGTGACGGGTCGAGCCCCTGACATTGTTACCACAAGACGACACGGGTCAAGCAATGGCCGAAGGCTAGGATTGGTAATAGTCGGGTTGGGGAGACACTGACCAAGAGGTGATTTGTTGTACCGCCAATGCCAAGCTTTTGTCTTGTCGTCCCTGACCGTCTGAGCGTGTGTTTCACTCTCCTCCCCTCCATCCTGACCATCAGCTTAAGATGGTGGCATAGACGTGCCCACGTACACTTTCGTACCCCGCCGAATCCAAAGCTTGGGCCACGGGAACTGCCGGAACAGCCTTCTGATCCACTTCGAGGGCGGTGAGAACCGTGGAGACGGCGGCGAGTGGAAGTGTCGATAGACCTAAAAAGATGAGTTTTTGCCAGATCATTTCATCCACTTAAAAATTCTGGCATGAGGGGATGTGAATTGCACTGACATTTTTGCAGATCAGACGGCGAACGAAGTGTCTGAGGAACTGTGGTGATAGCTTGAACAAATTTGGGGTATTTGTGTGCTGGATGGGGCGCTACGGGGTCCGTGGGAAGTTGGTCAATGTCTGGTCGTCAGATAATACTTTCGACTGGGTCCGTTCCCCCCCACTTGACTTGGCAGGGTCGCAGGTGAAGAGGCGGTGTGGAGCTAAGATCGAATGGGTTGACAACGTAGTTATACTTGTCATGTAGGGGAGCAGATAGGTTTGATGACAATAAGTCGGAGTGCCGTCGGTATCTCACGATTAGGAGATAGTGACACGACTCACACTCTCTGACCCCGTCGACAAACCCATCAATGACTTGAACCCCTTTCAACGTCCCCTGTGGCCATTCAGCTCTTGGTCCAGTCCCGCCGGTCCCCGGAGGATACTGTTCCCTCAAGGTAGGCAGGGGAGTACATAGATACTTTTTAAGCTGAATGGATGGCTGGGGCATCTTTTCAAGAGTGACAGTAGAGAGTAGAGAGTAGAAAGGAAAAAGATCAAGTTTGAGTGGGGGGAGGGTTGAATGGGAGGGGGACACGCACGTGGACCGACCGGTCAAAGGAGGTGATTTGATAACCGGTAGAACCAAACCCCATAATGCCGAGTAACGCCGATAGAGTATGTTGGCTAGGTCAACCTTTGACATTTCACCTTCCCTTGACTTCTCTACTCCTAGCTCGTTTAAATCCCATCACAGCATCAACCTCCGCTCCTACTGACCTATGTTCAACTCAGATACACTGACTATAATTGACGTGACTGACGAGAATCAACGACAAGTACCAACAAAAGTGGTAAGAGAATCCGGAAAAACCATAAAGCAACCACACGAAACCCCCAGAACAGGCAGAAGATGGAAGAAGAGCGCGAGAGGCGTAAAGCGGCGGCAAAAGCCCAAGATGGCAGAGAGAGACGAACGATGACAAGAGAAGAGATGGAGAAGGAGCGCGCCAGGAGGAAAGCAGCTGCTGAGGGTGGTGGAGAACGACCGAGGATGACAAGAGAGGAGATGGAAAGGGAGCTCGCGAGGCGTAAAGCCGTAGCGGAAAGAGGTGGCGATTCTGAAGGGAAACCCGATGGTTTGAAGATGACTAGGGAGGAGATGGAAAGGGAGCGGGCGAGGCGTAAGGCTGCGGAAAATGCTACCGGCTCTGCAAAATCTCAGGTGACCAGAGAAGAATTGGAGAAAGACCGCATCCGACGTGAAGCCATGGAAGCTGCCTCGAACGAGTCGGAACCCCCAAAATTGACACAGCCAGAACGAGCTCAGAAAGCCCGTGGACGATCGTCATCTGATTCCGAGTCACCGCCTTCTAGTGAGAAAGGGAAGGAGAGGATCGACGATGAGAAATCTGGTTCATCCACATCATCTCAGTACAAGACTTCGACAGATTCATCTTCCTCTTCTCCGGAGTCGAGATCGGGTTCTTCGTCTGATATCAAGGGCAGACCATTGAAATCCGCTATGAAAAGCTCAAGGCCAGCAGAAAGCAGTGGACGGAATGGGGATGACGGAGATCAGATGAGGTCAAGTAGAGAAGAGAGTTTGGGAGGAGAAGACAGTGAAAAGGAGGAATCGGGGGAAACTACAGGGGGTATCTCGTCAGAGGACGACCCACTCATGGCTGGCGACTATCGCGCATTGAAGTCTATCCTGAAAAAGCCCGGCGCGAAGAAAAAGAAGAAGAAGAAAGATCGACCAACAGTGCATCATAATCATTTCTTGACAATGAGAGGTTGGCGGCCTACTTTGGTACCTTTTCCACATGGCATGCATCCGAAGCCGGGAGAACCCAGGGGAACGCTGTGGTGGGATAACGTGCCGCGTGATGCGAGCAAATTGATGGTACAGAAACCGCCCAAGGAGCCGGAGAAGGATGATGAGGAGACAGGGTCAGAGACGGGAACCTCGGAGTCAGGGAAGGCGGACAAGGAAGAGAAAGAGGCAAAGGTCGAGAAGAAGAAAGATGACATTTCGAAGGAAAAGCAGATGGAGATTCTGAAAAAGAAGCAAGAAGAGAGATTAAGGGAGAAGCAAGCTGAGAGTAAGCGGCCGGAAAAGACGGAGAGTGAAACAGCTCAGGAGAAGAAGGAGAAACCTGGAGAGGCGAGACATGGGCACGTAGACGAGAAAGATAAGGAAAGGGAAAGAATGAAGGAGATGATGAAGGAAAAGGAAATGCTGAATGCGCAGGACGGGCGAAAAGACAAGGGCAAGGGGAGGGCCATAGATACAGATGATGACGCGGAGAAGGAATCGGCGAAGATGAAGCAACTGGAGATGCTCAAGGCGAAGGCGAAGGGCAAGGAGAAAGCGAGTGGAGAGGACCCAGAAAAAGATAATGACAAGGAAAAGGCGAAGATGAAGGAGTTAGAGATGCTCAAGCGAGGGCGAAGGGCAAGGGAAAAGCGAGCGGGGAGGAATCAGGAGAGGGATAAGGCCAAGGAAATGGCAAAATGA